TCAAATGGTCTTTAGTCATCATGTTAATTTTTCTCTCAATTTATTCCAATTCCTTACTATCATCAGCAGGATAAAAGCACTCTTCTCTCCATCCTTGCCAATTACAAAAATTATGTATTCAAAAATAAGCTAATTTGAGAAATGAATGATGATAGTGTATGATTATTTATTTTTAGTGCCAGTCCTAGAGCTGGAACTCCAGGCCTTGGCACTGTTCCTGAGCTTTTTCGTTCAAGTCTAGCACTATACCATTTGAGCCACAGCTCAACTTACAGCTTTTTGCTCATTAATTGGAGATAAGAATCTTATGAACTTTCCAGCCCAGGCTGTCTTTGAACCTTGATCCTCAGATATTAGCCTCCTGAATAGGAAGGATTACAGGCATGAGTCATTAGTGCCCAGCTGTGTATGCTTTTTAATAAATGTCTTGTGTGCTAAGCACAGAAGATACAAATAAGTGAGACAAAATTGAGTCCTGGAGCTTGGCACTGGTGGCTTACATCTTTAATCCTAGCTATTCAGAAGGCTGAGATGTGCGGATCAATGTTCAAAGCCAGCCTAGGCAAAAAAGTCTGTGAGATTCTATTAATTAACCAGCAAAATGCCAGACCATAGGTGTGGCTCAACTGGTAGAGCACTAGGTATGAGCATAAAAACCAAACTGGCATGTGCACATATACATACATACTCATGTATACGTGCACGCGCATGTGCACACACACACACACACACACACACACACACACAAGAATTCTGCTTAGGTACTAGACCTAGTTCTGATACCAAGCTTCTATTACCTCTTTTTGTCTCAGATTTTTTTTATCCTGTTCTGGCTCTGAGATTTTATTTTATTTATTTGCTAGTCCTGGGGCTTGAACTCAGGGTCTAGGTGCTGTCCTTGAACCTCTTTGTGCTCAAGGCTAGTGCTCTATCAGTTGAACTAGTGTCGCTTCTGGCTTTTTCTGAGTAGTTTATTGGAGATAAGAGGCTTTGAGCCAGGTGCTGGTGGCTCACACCTATAATCCTAGCTACCTGGGAGGCTGAGATCTGAGGATGACAGTTCAAAGGCAGCCCAGGCAAGGAAGTCTGTAGACTCTTATCTCCAATTAACCACCCGAAAACTGGTGCTGTGGCTCAAGTGGTAGAGTGCTAGCCTTGAGTTGAAGAGTTGAGGAATAGCGCCCAGGCCTAGAGTTCAAGACCCATGACTGACAAAAAAAGGGGGGAGGGGGCTTTAAACTGTGATCCTCAAATCTCAGCCTCCTGAGTGTGAGCCACCAGTGCCCAGCTGGCTCTGAGATTTTAATGCTGCCCTTGTCATCCCTTTCAGTTTTCCATGATTTACTTTGAGGACAGTATTTCACATTCATGTCTTAGGCAAATCCTCACAACCCTGGAAAAAAGTGATGTCCAGAAAGGTAAATTAACTTGCCCAAGGTCGCAGTGACATTAAGTGCCTGTGGACAAAGCAATTAGAAGTCAGCTCTTGTCTGGCTTCTTTAGAAACATCAAAGATGTGAATTTAGAAGCCATTAGCTCTCTCTCTCCAGCCCTTAAAGCCTCCCTCAGGTCTCAGAGTCTCATCCAAGCTGAATCTGGGCACTCAGCCAAGTGAGAAGTGCCTTGTGTGTCTCAGGTACTTGGCTTCCTTCCAAGCTCAAGATCTTGTTTCTTCCTGAAAGGGGCTCTGGGATGCTACTTCCTTGAGGTCTAATAAATAATTCCTTTTGCAGTCTTTTTACACAACCTCTTTATAGTCCTTTTCCCCAAATAATATTGACTTGCCAAGAAGACAGCTCTTATACCAGCACCTGTGATTATTGTTTCTCAATAAAGGAAGAAAAGATAGCTACCATGTGTGGAATACCTGTTAAGTGCCAGGCATTGTTCATATGGTGTCTTATTTAATCCTTACAGCAATCCTGAAATTGAAAGCTCCATTTTGTGAGTGTGTGTGTGTGTGTGTGTGTGTGTGTGTGTATTCCTTGAACTCAAAGCCTAAGTGCAGTCCTTGAGCTTTTTTTTTTTTTTGTTGTTGTTGTTGCTCTAGGCTAGTGTTCTACCACTTGAGCCACAGTTCCACTTGCATTTTTTCTGGTGGCTAATTATAGATAAGAATTTCATGGACTTTTCTGCCTGGGCTGGTTTTTAACTATGATCCTCAGATCTCAGCCTCTTGAGTAGCTAGGATTACAGATATGAGCCATTAGTGCCCAGCTTTTTTTTTTTTAAGTAACTAATTGGAGATTAGCTGACTTTGAACTTCAATCCTCAGCCTCCTGAATAGATTCTGGGAATAAGCCACCAGAACCTGGCTTTCCTACTCCTCCCCTCCCCCCCCCCCCCCACTAGCCTCCAACTTGCAATGCTGAAATTACAAACATGCACAAATACACTCAGCCTATTACAGCCTTTTGACTTACAAAAAACTTCCACATCTCAATGGCTTAATCCAATAAAAGTTAATTTTCTTGTCTGACTTGGTTGTTCAGGTTGGATAGCTTCTTGGCTAGTGATCCTCTAAAGAGTATCTCATTGATCCAGGTTCTTTCCATTTTATAGCTCAGACATACCCTGGGGTTTCAGAGTCCTGTAAAATTTTTCACTTTAAAGTAGAGAAAGCAAAAATAATTGCATGGCAAGTTTTAATGAGTCAGGTCTGAGAATTGTCATACCATATTCAGAAGACCTAATTTTCAAGGAAGGCTGGGAAATGTAGTCTAGCTGTGTGTCCAGGTGTAAGAAGACAATTTTTTTTTTTCTGAAACAAGCAGCAAAATCTATCTCATAAGGCAAAAGTAGGAGGTGGAGAAGAACTTTCCAGGTATTTGTTCATCATTCATTCTAGGAACATTCACTGAGCATGTACTATAGTGATCAAAGAGAGACCTTGTCTCTCATGGGCTTCTACTTAGTAGGGAATAGCAGGTGTGAGTTCCTATGGGGGAATGGAACTAGGTCAGCATAGTGTGTGTGTGTGTGTGTGTGTGTGTGTGTGTGTGTGTGTGTGTGTGAATGGATCCTGAGGTCTTGTGCATGCTAGGGAACTGCTCTACCACTAAGCTATGCCCAACCCCTGAAGGAAGAACTCTGGATTAAAAAAAAAAAATTGTCAGCTGTGGGGCTTGAACTCAGTGCCTGGGTGTTGTCCCTGAGCTCTTTTGCTCAAGGATAGTGCTCAATCACTTTGAGTCACAATGCTACTTCCAGTTTTCTAATGATAATTTGGAGACAAAAGTGTCATGGACTTTCCTGCTAAGGACGGCTTTGAACCTCAGATGTCAGATCTCAGCCTATTTTTTTGTTGTTGTTGCTGTTGGTGGTGGTGGTGGGCTTGAATTCTGGGCCTGGGCTTTGTCCCTCAGCTCTTCAGCTCAAAGTGAGCACTCTACCACTTGAGCCACAGCCCCACTTCTGGTTTTCTGGAGGTTAACTGGAGATAAGAGTCTCACAGACTTTCTTGCCTGGCTGGCTTTGAACTGTCATCCTCAGATCTTAGCCTCTTGAGTAGCTAGGATTACAAATGTGAGTCACCAGCACCCAGCAGAAGCCTTGGTTTTATTTTATCAGTGGTAATACTCTGTTAAAGGATTTTAATTAGAGTGATCACCATGTGTTGTAGGTTTTAAAATTATTACTGTCTCATGTACAGTGAGTTGGCAAGATGGAAACAATTGAATCAGAGAGACTAGATATTGAAGGTAGGCTAGTGATAGGGGTAACCCTAAAGATGGAGAAATGGAAGTGCTTGAGAGGCTGACTAAAGGACTTAATGGCTATTTGGATTATGAGGAACGAAGGGCTGGGAAGAGACCAGAGGATTCCTGCTTGGCTTGAGTCATTGGCTGACCCAACTCAGTTAGTCCATGTGAAAGTGCTTCAGGAGGGTTAAAAGGAGGGTGAGAACAGGGCACCTGTGGCTCATGTCTGGCTATGCAGGAGGCTGAGATCTGAGGATCCTAGTTTGAAGCTAACCCAGGCAGGAAAGTCGAGAGGCGCATATCCAATTAACCACAAAACAAACAAGACAAAACAAAGAAACCCCCAGGAGGGCTGGGAAGGTGGCTCAGTGGTAGAGTACTTGCCTTGCATGCATGAGGCCCTGGGTTCAATTCCTCAGCACCACATAAGCAAAAAGAAAAAAGCCGGAAGTGGCGCTGTGGCTCAAGTGGTAGAGTGCTAGCCTTGAGCTGAAGAGCTGAGGGACAGCGCCCAGGCCCAGAGTTCAGACCCCACGACTGGACCCAAAAAAGAAAGAAAGAAAGAAGAAAGAAAGAAACCCACAGGAGAGGGGAAGAAGGGGGGGGGGAGGGAAGAGAAGGAGAGGGAGAAAGAAAGGGAGAAGGAGAGGAAGAAGGAAAGGGAGAGAGATCTAGGCATCAGTGGCTCACACCTGTAATCCTAGCTACTCAGAAATAAGAGGTGAGGATCAAGGTTTAAAGTCAGCTCAGGCAGGAAAGTCCATGAGACTCTCATCTCCAAGTAACCAAAAAGCTGGAAGTGGTACAGCACTAGCTTTAAGTAAAAAAGCTCCGGGACAACCCCAGGACCAGATTCCCTCCTCCTTCCCCCCCGCCCCCTGTGCCCCTCAAAAACATTAAAAAAAAAAAAAAAAAGAGGAGAGTGAAATCGCACGGTGCGATCAGGTCGCGTGTTCCAGCTTGCAAATATGGAAACCGAGGCACGAGGTAGCTGCAGATAGAGTCAAGTCTCCTGAAGCTCGACTCTCACTTTTGACGCGGGTGAAGGCCATCGCCGCCCCATCCCGGCCCCGCCCCTGCCCATCCCGCACTCTGCCAGTCCAGGTCCAGTCCAGGCCCGGCCCGGCCCGGCCCGGCCCCGCCCCGCTCCGCCCCGCCCCGCAGGCTCAACCGTGTCCACGCACTGAGTTCCAATAAAGTTATTGCAATTGACAGCGGTTGCTAAGGAAGTAGGTCGCCGAGCCGGGTTGCTAAGGAAGTGAGCGGCCGCGGTCTCTCCCCATCCGGGGCAGCGGGGAATGGCTGAGCCTGGGGTTTGCCGCTGCCGCCCCCGCCGCCGCCGCCGCCGCCGCCGCCGCCCGCTCTCGGCTCCGGCCGCAGGTGAGTCGCGTGCCCCCGCCCCCTCCGCCGAGTGCTCCCGGACGCGGCTGGGTTTGGGCCGCTTGGCGTTTTCGCGGTGGCTCCCGCCGCCGCCAGGCTTTGCCGTTCTGCCTGCCTGCCAGTCCGAGCATCTTCAGCCCTGCCTCCGGGCATCCTCCAGCGATCCAGACGGCCTCACCCCTGTCTCCCCGGCAGGGCTATAGCGCGACCCCCCCAGAACCAGTCTCCCGCGGTGTGTGTGTGGGGAGGCTGCCGCTCATGTTCAGGGCCCCAGCTCGGAAGGAAGCCTGGGGAGCAAGTACCTGGGGTCCAAACCTTTGCGCTGTCCCTGACTCGCCGTGTGACCTTGGACAAGCCCCTTCCTGTCCGTGGCCTCAGTTGACCTGTTTGTCCAAACACTTGCTGCTCGACGGGGTTAAAGAGGCTGAGTCAAGAAGGTGAGAGCGCCCAAAGAGAATTGTTAGGGCACCCTAGCATGGGGGCCTAGAGTCCTGTTCAAAGTCTTGAGTGTCCAGGTTACAGACTGTGTCTCCCACTTAGTAACTGTAACTGTGTGGCCTTGGGCAAGTTAATCTCTTTGAGTCTTCTTTTCCTCTCCTATGATATGAGATAATTGACTGGGAATCCAGGGAGACTGGCTATGTCAACTTGCTTGTCACATGGTAAGTGCTTAGCAAGCTATTGTGAGGTGCCTGGGGTGGGATGGGCAAAGCTCTCAGGGAGATGACATGGGGATTGGTAGGATTTAGGGGTGTGGCTTGCCAACTCATGGATGTTTCTGCCATTGCTGCCATCCTCCTGCCCCCAGTTTAACAAACTCCCTTCTGCTGAGAGCAAGGAAGGTCGTTGACTTCTGCAAGTAGACTTGGGGGGAGGCCCTGAGATCAAATCTTGATTGGTGGTGTTGTAATCTGACTTGTTACTTGTGCCTAGTTGACCATTTCTGCAGACAACAAGAAAAAAAAAAGTATCTGTATATACTGGAAAGCACTTAAAGCATTAAGGACTATTTACAAGTACATGATTAAGAAGCTCATTTCAGGTATATTATCTACTTAATCTTGACATGGACTGTGTCAGGCATCTGATAATCACCCCCAATTTGCAGATGAGGAAACTGAGAAAAGTGAATGACTTGTCTATGACTCTTAGGTTTGTGGTGTAATGGAACTAGATATATTTCCTAGAAAAGCCTGAAGTTTATCCTCCACTACCTGATCCTTCTGCTTTCTCAATAGTAGCTAGTGCCAGGTCACAAGGGTATTCTTTGGTTACTCCTAACTGCTTAGCTTAGAAGCTTATTCCAAATGGCATGCAGATGATCTCATATATATAAAGCTTCTTTTATTTATTGTCAGTCATGGGACTTGAACTCAGAACCTTGGCACTGGCTGCCTAGTGCTTTACCATGGCACCACCTCTGGTTTTCTGTTGGTTAATTGGAGATGAGTCTGATGGACTTTCCTGCCCCTGTTGGCTTTGAACCGGGATCCTCAGATCTCAGCCTCCTGAGTAGCTAGGATTACAGGTATGAGCCACCAGCACCCAGCTTAAAGCTTCCTTTGAATAGGTACCATCCAAAGGGTTCATCTCAGAAAAGAGCTGGAATCTTTCCTTTCCTTTCCCTTTTCCTTTTCCTTTCTTTCCTTTTTGTCGGTTGTGGGGCCTGAACTCTGGGCCTGGGCACTGTCCCTCAGCTCTTCAGCTCAAGGCTAGTGCTCTACCACTTGAGCCACAGTGCCACTTCTGGCTTTTTGTGTTTATGTGATGCTGAGGAATCAAACCCAGGGCCTCATATGCAAGGCAAGCGCTCTACCACTGAGCCACCATCCTAGCCCTCTTTTTTTTTTTTTTTTTTTAAGGCTTTTATGTCCCTTGATCTTTTCTCTCTCTTCCTCTCTCTGTCTCTCACTCTGTTCCCCCCCCCCCCCCCCCCCCAGTCCTGGCCGTGAATTCCGGGCCTGAGCGCTGTCCCTGAGCTGCTTTTGCTCAAGGCTAGCACTCTACCACTTGAGCCTCATCACCACTTCCAGCTTTTTCACTCTGAACCACCAGGGTCTGGCTTGATCTCTTTAAAATTAAGAATGAGCTGGGCCTTGGTGGCTCACACCTATAATCCTACCTACTCAGGAGGCTGAAATCGGAGGATTGAGGTTCAAAGCCAGTCTGGGCAGAAAAGTCCTTGTGAGACTCTTATCTCCAATAAACCACTCAAAAGGGGAAGAGGAGCTAAGGCTCGAAATGGTAAAATGCTAACCTTGAGTAAAAGAGCTCAGGGACAGTGTCCAGACCCAGAGTTCAAGCTCCACAACTGACAAAAATAAATTAATAAAAACTAAAAATAAAAATAAAGTGGAGGATAAAGCCAGGTACTAGTAGCTTATGCCTAGCTACTCAGGAAGCTGAGATTTGAGGATTGAAGTTCAAAGCCAGGCAGGCAGGAATGTCTGTGAGACTTTATCTCCAGTGAATCACCAAAAAGCTGGAAGTGGAGGTATAGCTCAAGTAGTAGAGTGCCAGCTTTGAGAGAGAGAGAAAAAAAAACAACCCTGAAGAATAGTACCCAGGTCCTGAGTCCCAACACCAAAAATTTAACAAAAACAAAAAAAATTAAATGAGTGATGTAGGCTAGATGTTAATAGCAGATCATCTCAGTGCTGTTTTGCAGTTGGGGCTAAAAGCATGCAATTAGGTTGCTGGGATAAAAATCTTGGTCTGCCACTTACAAACTGTGTGCCACTGAGCAATTGACTTCACCTTCTGTGCTGTGTAATGATAAAGTTTCTTTTTAAAATTTTTTTGCAAGTCCTTGGGGGGCCTGGACACTATCCCTGAGCTTCTTTTGTTCAAGGCTAGCACTCTACCACTTGAGCCACAGCACCACTTCTACCTTTTTCTATTTATGTGGCACTGAGGAATTGAACCCAGGGCTTCATGCATGCTAAGCACGCACTCTACCAATAAGCTGCATTTCCGGTCCCTTTTAAATATTTTTAATATATACGTAGGGATAATAATGGTACCTGTCATGTAAGACTATTGTGAAGATTGATTTGCTCCTACTCCACATAAAGCGCCTTAGTATGTTTGGTAAACGTTAGTTGTCATTACTTGTATTTAACAAAGCACCTTTATTTTCTGTGTGTGGCAAATGAGTAAAGTACATGATGTTAATAACAGGTCTGTCATCCTCACAAGGTCAATGCAAGCATGATACAGTAGTCATCATAGCATTATGTAAATGTTGGTGGTGTTATAGTGTTGTTCCAGGAACCCACACAGCCATGCCAGATGGGCTGTGAAGTGAAAGCTGATGGGAAGATGCCAGGGTTGGTAGCTCAATATCCAGTTCAGCAAATGTTTATTAAATTTCCCATGCCAGGAACATGGAAAATGTCTTGTCCATAGCCTTCAAGAAATCCAGAGCATAATATGAAAATTAATGGCATTTGACTTTTTTTTTTTAAGATGGGGTAGGGGGCTGTGATCAATAAACTAGCCTTGAATTGCAAAGCTCAAATGATTCTCCTGCCTCAGCCTCAGTAATTTTTTTTTTTTTGGGGTCCGGTCTTGGAGCCTGAACTCTGGCCTGGGCGCTGTCCCTCAGCTCTTCAGCTCAAGGCTAGCACTCTACCACTTGAGCCACAACGCCACTTCCGGCTTTTTTCTTTTTGCTTCTGTGGTGCTGAGGAATCGAACCCAGGGCCTTAGGCATGCAAGGCAAGTGCTCTACTACTGAGCCACCTTCCCAGCCCCTTTTGTTGTTGTTGTTGTTGTGAAAATACCATACAGAGGGGTTACAATTACATAGGCAAGGTAATGAGTACATTTCTTATCAAGCATTGTTGCCTCCGCCTTTGTTTCCCCTTCCCATCCCTTCCCATCGCTCCCCCATCTCCTACCCCTGCCCCCCCAGTAATTTTTTTTCCTGGTCCTGCAGCTTGAACTCAGGGCCTACCTCTGTCCCTTAGCGTCTCAGTGCTCAAGGCTAGTGCTCTACCACTTGAGCCACATACCACTTCCAGCTTTTTCTGTTTATCTTGGACTGAGGAATAGAATCCAGGGCTTCATATATACTAGACAGGCACTTTGCAACTGAGCCACATTCCCAGCCCTCAGTGATTTTTTTTTTTTTGTCGTGAGGCTTGAACTCTGGGCCTGGGTGCTGTCTCTGAGTTCTTCAGCTCAAGGCTAGCACTCTACCACTTGAGCCACAGGGCCACTTCTGGTTTTCTGGTGTTTAATTGGAGATGAGAGTCTCTTGAACTTTCCTGCCCTGGTTGGCTTTGAAGAGTGGTCCTCAGATCTCAGTGGGGCCCGGCTTCAGTGATTTTTTTTTTTTAATTTTTTGTGAACATACTGTACAGAGGGGTTATAATTACATGGGCAAGATAATGAGTACATTTCTTATCAAGCATTGCAGCCTCCTCCTTTGTTTACCCTTCACATCCCTTCCCAGCCTCCCCCCCCCGCAGTGATTTTTAAAAAAAAATTAATTTGTGTACTGGGGCTCGAACTCGGCCTCTTACTTGCTTGACTTGATTGCTTGGCACTCTGCCACTTGAGTCCTCATGCCTGTATTTTTGCTGGTTAATTTGGAGACATAGTTTCATAACTTTTCCATTCAGCCAGGCTTTGTATTGTAATCTTCCAGATCATGGCCTCCTGCATAGCCACAGTTACAGGTGTGAACCTTTGTTGCCTGGCTTGAGTTTGACTTTGTTAAGTGATTCATATCTTGTTTTTGCCTGGCCACAAGTAAAAGTGATTTAAATCTTTTCTATTGATTTCTGAGATTTTTGCTTGTTTGAGGATCCTCAGGTTGTTCCTGTGCCTTTTTTTTTTTAAATTTGAGACAAGGTCTTTCTATGTAATCTAGGCTGGCTTCAAACTATCTTTTTTTTTGGGGGGGTGGGGGGTGGTCCGGTCGTGGGGCCTGAACTCTGGGCCTGGGCGCTGTCCCTCAGCTCTTCAGCTCAAGGCTAGTGCTCTACCACTTG